CCTTCACAGCAAAAACACTGTGAAGGTTTTAAAAAGTCACCTTCACAACATTTTGCTGTGAAGTTTCAAGTGTAAAATGTTGGTCTCACGGGTCTCACGAAAACAGGCTGGTCTCACATGATCCCAAGTCTATATATATATATATATATATATATATATATGGGCAAGTTCATTTGTTAACATAAATTATTGTGTTAACTTTATGAATTAATCATGGCCATTGATTTTTAAAATATAAGGTTAATATTAATCATATTATAACTTTAAATTATTATCCTTATAATCTCACAAACATATGTGAACATAGTAGCTCAAGAGTATTTATGTAAAATAGGAGGTGCAATCAATACCATCAATTACAAACAATATAAATCGTATATATTCAATTGTGTTTATAATTGCCACAAGTGTTCAATTTGTGTTCATAATTGCCCAAATGTTCATATATGTTCAATTTTGTTCATAATTATCACAAATGTTCACATATATGTTCAATTTATGTTCATAATTGTCATAAGTGTTCATATATGTCAATTTGTGTTCAGATGGGTGTATACATGCCAATTTGTGTCATATATGTTAATTTGTGTTCATAATTACCAAGACACTCACTTTGATTATTTACTTTACTTCTTGATCTCGAACTCCGACTATCACTATGAACAATTTTAACCTTCTCAATTTTGTGTTGTTTTCCAATGTCTTTATCCATAATTGCTTGAACGATAACAAACACTTTACAAGCGGACCTCCCCGCCAATCACAAATTCATAAACATTAAAAATGGAAGATCAATATAAAAAATGAAAAGTCACAAGATCAATATTAAAAAAATGCAAAAATCATGAGGTTTTATGGAATTTGTAACTCTCAATTAATGATATAGGAGTTACAAAAAAAATTATTCATATACCCTATGAGACCCGTGAGACCACCTTTTTACACTTGAAACTTCACAACAAAATGTTGTGAAGTTAACATTCGCAGTGTTTTTGCTGTGAAGGTTCGGCTTTTTTTTACCTTCACAACATTTTGCTATAACGTTTCAAGTGCATAAAAGTGATCTCACAGCTCTCATAAAAACATGTTGGTCTCACGTGATCCCATATATATATATATATATATATATAATGTATGTATGTATAAAGAAGTAAAAAAGAAACATTAATTAGTAATTGAAATACATATATAATTAAGGCAGACCCACCCCACGGCATATTAAGTAATTAAATTCCCTATAAAAAGGATCATGGGAACCACATCTATACACCCTGGCAAAGACAAGATACAAACACCAAAGGTCACTTTCGTCTTTTTTACAACCTACCCCCCCACAAAAGTCACTTTATCCAAATTTTGTTTTTACTATTTGTAATTATTCTATATATTAACAAAAAAATATCTACAAAAATTAATAGAAACAATTATTTTTCACTGAACAATTCATCTATCAGTCATTTTTCTTTTAAAACTTACCATAATAAAATCTCTATAAGTGCCCTTGTTACAACTTGCAGATATGACATTTGAAAGAAGTTCTGGAGAAGAAGATCCACAAATCACAAATGTGTTGTGCAGGTTACATAATACAACTGTCAATCGATGAGAGGATCCACAACTGTTATTTTCATACCCTTACTTTTTTATTCATTTCTGTACACGATTGTTGGATAATCTGTTTTTTTAATGTATATATACGTGCTTGACATTGATTTTGTTGTTTCAGAAATTAGCATAATTCATGGAAAAATGCTCCCTCCGTGAGTTGAAGCATAGTCACTTGCAGAGGTAGTTATTTTTTTTTTGATTAACCTGGATATCCAACCCGCTATGCGAGCCGACTAATCACAGAGCGACCACCTGCTTTGCAGATAGCTTGAAGTCACCCCCATTTGAACCTTTGTGGCCACAAGAGATTTTTATTACTCCTTGGATTTGAACCTGGGACCTCTAGGTACTTTTGGCCTTTGGAGCCAAGCTCAAACCAATCAGGCACCACCCTTTTGACCTCCAGGTGCTTTGCAGATAGTTTTATTGAGAATGGGAGAGGAATAGTTAGGAGTTGTTCTGTGGAAAATTACTGTCTTTGTCAATTTCCCAGATATCTATATCAAATATCATGGAAAAAAAGAGAGAAAATATTCATATATGAATTACTGAAAGAAAATATTTGAATATGTATGTATGAACCCATATGAATAATTTGTAAAATATACATCTTTAACACGTCAGGTTTCAGTTAAATTGGTGGTATATACATAACTGCCAAGCGGAACTAAGTGCGACCTAGGTTGCGGGCCAAGTCGCATGCACACTATTTCACCCTACACAGTATCACATGTAATGATTGTATGTGTTAAGATGTTTTCATGTTCTTAAAGCAAGTATTATTATTATTTGAACTTTCGCCTACAAAAAGAACTGATGTTAATACGGAAAAATTAAAAATTAATTATGATTGTGATAGATATGGACGTAGATTAAAAATTAAAAACAGAATCTAATATATAAATAAAAAAGAGAAATTGACCGAAATGAACATTTCTCTTACATCAAATTTTATCTAAATGTTACTACTTTGGCAAGTGACACATTCGTAATTTGCAGATGTAGCTAAAAGACAAAAGAGAAATCTGTCTAGATCTGCAAGTCACGGAGGTGCCACTTGCGAACCTAAACAGAAATTTTAATTTTTTTTTGTGACATTTAGATAAAAGAAAGAAATCAATTACACCGAGAGAAATGTCCATTTCAGTCGATTTAAATGTAAGAAATTAATGAAATATATGAAAAACAGCAAGGGCAAAATGGTAAATTTGAGATGAGGGATCAACAACAATGATACCCACCCAGGAACCAAAATTTGGCTTGTAGAGTTGGCAATGTCGTCGTCTTCTTCTTTCTTTGGTTGATCTGAAAATACTGAGCTTTCACTCCCCCATAGCAGTTAAGCTGCTTCAATCCACTCACCTACTTTCTCTCTCTACAAAATCCTTCTTTCTCACACACTTTCACACTCAAACACGCACTCCCATACTCTCTCTCATCGCATTTATGGTTGCAGTTATCGGAATCTTTACTGCTTAGGTAGAGTCGTGGGAGTTTAATTTTGGAAAGAGAAAGTAAGTTACAGACACCAGGTAGACGGAAAAGGAGAGATGCCGTTGGTGAGGGTGGAGGTGAGAAATGAGTATGGGTTAGGAATGCCGGAGTTGTACACGGAAACCAACCGAGAAGATCCCAAGGCGGTGCTTGATGGTGTTGCGGTTGCTGGCCTCGTCGGAATCTTGCGTCAATTAGGCGATCTTGCTGAGTAATTATCTCGTCTTCTCTTTCTTACTGTTTTTGTATTTCTGGTTTTCCGAGTGTGTTGGTGAACTTGAATTTGAATTTGAATTTGATAGAGCGGAATTACATGTTTTGATTTACGGTTTATATGGAATCTCAGTGTAATGATTTCCTGTGGAATTTGTTATTTTTTCTTCTCCAAGTGTTCACGTTTCAAATTTTAGTGATATGATGGAGAAATTTGTGAAATAGCAAGGTAAATGAAAACATTTGAACAGAACATTTCTGGGACATAATTGAAGTGTTAATTGCTGACATGTAAAAGGCTTCCATACTATAAAGTTCTATTTCATTGTCATTCAGCATTCTTGATTGATTCTGCTAAAAGTGTTCAAGATAACTGACCTTGGATACAAAAAGAAGTGTCCCTTTCTGAAGTGTTCACTCTACTGGATACTCCTGGAATTGATTTTTTTTTTTTGATTTATTTGAATAGAGTTTTAACCATATTCAACTTTGTAAGTACTGAAGACAACAATACTTGCTGCTTAAAAATGTGAATGTGAAAATCTATCATCATTAGTGAACTTGGTTTGACTACAAAAGTTAAATCGAGGCTTTATTTTCGATTTGCAAGGACTAGACTAGAATTGATTCATTTATTTTCAAGACTCTAATGTGAGGGGTGTGGTTGCCTTTGGAAGAGTTAATTGGTTCCTTATACATTCTACTGGTTCTTTGTATCTTGTCCTTGTTTGTTTCTGGTGAGAATTGTTCCTCACTAAATTTACAAATAAGTTGGGAGAACTGCTGCTAGTTCCAAAAATTCTCCTCTTGAGAAATTTTGCTTAGTAGGTTCTAATTTATTTACTTTCTTGTTTGGCCTTCCCTTATGCCAATGGCTCCGGTTACTATAATGACCATCATTTTCACATTTGGGATCTCTATTGTATCATGTCTCCTACTTATGATTAAGACAGTTCATGTTGCTTTTGTATCAAATATAAGGGATTTAGATGATGAAACCTATAATCAAATCTAAAAAAAACCAGGATGTTGTATCAACCTGATATTATATACTAATAGTTTATAATAGTCATTTTTTTCTTAAACGATGTTTTTCTTCTTCTTTTGCATATACTGATGAGTGATCCTCTGGATGACTTGCATTTGATTGTTTGAGGTATTGATAGATTTGTACTTATCACATCCTTTGTTCCAGACTGAATTTTTTTAGTCCTACAATAACCACAAAATCCTGACCAAGGGCTTTAACATAATAAATTACATGGCTATTTCACTTAATCTTTCATAGGCAATGGTTTTTTTCTAATACGATAGCTATATTCAGCAGAGGCATTCACGCTTCCATTACATCTCCAATGAACTGATTTACAAGCAACTTTAGTTAGAGTGTTGTTGTTGGTGTAGCCATGAATCCTTTAGGTTAGTCTTTGTGATATTTATTAATCTTAATATACCTTTCACATTCAACGCCATGCACACATGGGAAGTCATACTGAGTGCATTAGCATGCAAATCATATGAAGTGCAAACTGCAAGTCTGCAATAACATTCATCAGAAGCAATGCCTATGTAAGCATTTGAATGCAGGGCCTTGGTGTTGGTATCATCTAAGTTTGTAATGGATCTAAGGATTTAGGTGCTACAGAAGGCCATGTGATTGGTATCAACTTGCAATCGAGAGGAGGGATTCTGGATGGAGAGCAGGATAGTATGCATAATTGCTCCCTTGGTGGATGGCCATCAAGACACATCATTTGTTACCTAAATACATCTAGCGTTCTTTCCTATCCACTCTAGGAATTCTGATGATTTTCTTTCTTATATTGAGAAAGAATTACACGGTATGTTCTATTAAAATCTTATCTCATGCTCATGGGGAATGCTTTTGCAAAACATTGTGGATCATGAATCAAAGTAGCAGTTGAAATAGAAGTAGCTATTTCAAGTGGTTAACATCAACCCTGTGTCATTGAAAGGTGGCAACTAAACCTTATATGTGTGATGTATTTAGGTAAGATACGACATCTTGTACATTAACTGAGGATCTTCTGACTTTGCAAAAATTACAAGATCTTCAGGTTCACGGATAAACTGAGAGAGGGAAGACTACGGTGGTTTGAACACGTTCGCAGCAGACCGATGGCGGCACATGTGAGGAGAGTAGAGCGTCTGATTGTGCGACAGTCGAGGGGGCGTGGTGGAGGGGTAGGCCAAGAAGGGTGTGAGATGAATAGTCAAGGATGGACATGACGATCTTAGATATTTCCGAGGACATTAGCTCTGATAGGAGTTCTTGGAGATGTAACACTAGGGTAGAAGAGTTGAGAGTAGGAACCTAGACCTAGTGTGGATAGGAAGAAGGGAGTTAGTGAGGTTGAAGGTGGGACATGGGGAAGGTTTTGGGAGCCGGCAAATAAGGGTACAGGGTCCGACAGTAATGGAATGATGTGTGTGGGATTTACAGGGTTTATTTGGTTTTATTTTAGTTGAAACAAGTCATGCTTGGACGTAGTTACATTTAAAAATCTCTTCTTTTTCCATCTGGCTTCATTGCACATCATGTTCTACTTGTGTGGTTGTTAACAACTTAACATGCATTCCGTACATTAAGTAAGATATGTAACTTAATAGCTAAACTGAGCATGTTAGAAATGCAAATTTAGTTGAAAGAAAGGAAGAGTTGACTTAAGTTGAGTTTTTACATTGTTCTTTTCAATCTCATGATTGCACATTTTCCAACAGCTTGACATCTACTTACGTTTCCTTCATAAAATTGAGGTAATTGGAATTCAGTGTGTATGTTAGATGTTTCAGATTTCTGATCACACTCTGCTTTCATACCTAGTTGGAATTTTAAAGGTTGGTAGAAATTGTACACTGGGTTAAAGTAAAAGCATGATAACACGTGATCTTAAATCTGTGTTTATTTTACGTATTCAATATATGAATTAAGATGTCGTCTTTCTTCCTATTGGTTTGGTTTTAGATTTGTACACAACCTCACACATACGTAAAACACACCCCCGTATCATAAGCATTTTAGAACTTTTTGTATTCTTACATCTTTTTTGACCTTTTAAACTTAGTTCATCTATTAGTTATCATTCCTTCTTTTAGCAATTCTTCTTTCTAAAACCTATTTTTTTTACTATTATATGGTATTCTATTACCTTTTGCAATGCTTATATGGGAACTTTGCACATATGGATGATTTACTTGGCTTTCTATTCTTTCTCCATGTAATTTAAGTAAAACCTTACATTTTAACTCCGGTCTAATTGTGCTAAAGACGTGCCATCATCAAGAACTTGTTTCTGTTATTTTGGTTATAACTATTATTCACTTCTAAAGCTGTATCTTTCGGGACCTGAGATAAAATCTTTTGCATGTATAGATTTGCAGCAGAGGTTTTTCATGGATTACAAGAACAAGTGCTAATTACATCTTCTAGAAGCCATAAGTTGGTAGAACGAGTACACAACATTGAAGCTGCACTCCCTCCACTAGAAAAGGCTATCTTGGCACAACGGAGTCACTTGCATTTCGCTTACACAGCTGGTAACACTTGCATCTTTTGTGTTTGCACTACTGATTATTATGCTTGTTTTACCGCACCAAAAAAGAAAAATCTTGGTAAGATTCCTTTTTCTTCTCCTTGTCATAATTACAGAATAGCACCTTAGCCAGGTCGAATAAACCTGTTTTATTGGTCTGTTTTGTCTCATTATTAGAAGAGACTACATGTTATAATGAATAGATTACAACTTTCTTGGTACTTATTTTCAATGGCCAGACTTTCGAAGTACCTGATTGACTGATTTACTGCACCTACAACATTCATAAGTGCATCTCCCCCAAGACAATTAGCACCATAACCCGCTTATCTTAAGAACTTTGTAGTTATAAACAATTGATACATCTACTTATATGCTTCTTATGAATCATGATGTTTATAATCTAGGACTCAAGTAGCATTGAAAATTTAATTTTTTATGTTGGTAGGTGCCACATCTTGTGGTTCACCTCTGCAAGTGATTGATACCTCATACCTACAAGCAATTAAGGTTCTCGGACAACGATTTAGAGATCTAACTCAAGATGTAAGAATCAATTACAAACCAAACCAATACAAATGTATCCGGCCTATGCATATCCCAATGTGGGGTAGGGTTCGGGGGGTAGGATGTATGCAAACCTTTTCTCTACATCAAGGGGCAGAGAGTTTGTTTCCACGCAAACCCCTAGCTTGCAAAATGTTGTGGAAAGTCATGGATGAAAGAGAAATTGTCAAAAAAATTGGAAGTTTTGAAGAAATTAAAGAAAGAAAGAGGAAGGCATGAGTTATGAAAAAAGTAACAGAACAGTGTGCAAACATGAATCAAAGACAATAAACATTAAAGGCAATATGAACACAAGAGTTAAAACAAGCAATGAAGCTAAACCACTTAACAAGTACTAGGGCAAGATCTACTCCTAACCATCTTAGGGCGAATATTAATTACCATCTATGAAATTGTTAAGAGCAAATAAGAGGAATGTCGCACAAGATTGAATCTCTTTCCTTTGTAGTGCTTGAGCTTGTAGATGTATCAATTGGTGCAGTAAATCATCATAGGAAATGTCTCATGTACGTGGACTCCTAAGCGGTTTATCTTATTTGGGTATACTTGAGAATTAGTTTTCTCAATTTATTGCACACACTCTTTCAGCTAATTCTTGCACTTGTTCCTCTAGCTTTCAGAATTATGATTTAATGTTTGTATCAACTCATTAACAAATGACAATGGGTGGTTTGAATTCTGACTTCATAGACTGTGAATATCGAAAGTAGTAATCCAAGAATTCTCCAAAATCCCCAGTGCATCACAACTCCTCGGCTTTGTAAGACAGTAAGAGTTGGGACTTTGAGAGGGAGGTAATTTTATGCAGTAGTTCTCTTGCATTTTGCAAAGAGGCTACTTCCATGACCTTCGAGTCTCTAAAGTGTAACCTTACCAGTTGCTCCATGGCTCCCCTACTAATCCAAGAAGTCGCTAATTGTAATTAACTGTGAAATAACTGTTTTATTACTTGGAGATAAAGTGCTTCACATATACTCATATATGGCAGGTTCTCACTGGCATACTCGACTCAGAACTGAACAAAACCATTTCATATATAGTGACTTGCCACGATGCATTATGGACTCCTATGAAGACTGCCGTGATCCTCCACGTCTGCACAAGCTTGACAAGTATGAGTATCTTTTATTGTCCGATTATAATTCTATTAGATTGGTAGATGACTTAACCTTCATGGTTTACTATCAGATTTGACATCGGGGGCCCAGGATCTTGCTTCAGAAGATATTCTGATCCAACTTATTTTAAAAGAACTTCAGCTGGGCCTTATGAAGCACATCTTCAAAGCGTACCGAGAGAAAAGAAGGCTCGTAGAAGCAAAGTATGTTTCATAATCCCCATATGCATCTGTATTATGATCCTCATCAGCTAAGATATGTTCACCATTGAGTTCAATCAAATCTCATATATCAATTACAATTCCGATGTAGTTCAAACTAGTACTATGCAGGAATTCAAATTCTATTTCTATTTAACCTGGAAAAGATAATAATAATAATAATAATAATAATAATAATAATAATAATAATAATAATAATAACTTGTATATTACAGTTGTACCAACTTATTGAATACAATTATGAAATGGTTAATAGAGTACAAAGATCACAGATAATAATTGTTCTGATGCTTGCAAAATACATGAAGCAACCAATTAGTTTTTAATAGCAGAAGGAAGGTCCTGAGCACTTTTTCTTACCATTGCAGTTCTAATAGCTATTGGTTTACAAATATATATTTATTTGCTGTTGTAAAATTTTGATGCCGCCAAAGTTACCTTCTGCATCATCTAAGAATAAGGGCCTGTTTGTTAGCAGCTTAATGAGCTTAATGGGACAACTTATCTGGTCAGCTATACATGACTGTTTGGTAGTGGTTTAATGATATAGAAAGTGGCTTATCCAATAAGCTTCTAGGAGGAGCTTTATGCAGAAAAGCCAAGTTTTTTACAAACCTGCTCCTCCCAATTAAAAAACATGCTTGTTTATCCATGAAAAAACTCCCAAACAAACACCTTTCCAATCTATACAGACAGTTTTATTGTATAGGACTTAATGGACAACCAACCCAACAGCCCCTAAGTTGTATAAAGTGTCTAACTCATGGATCCTTATGGTAAACCATGCTTGAACTGTCTTACCAATGTTTACTTCATGCAGAAAAAGAGATCTTCATTGAGGTATAGAGATGTGACACATGGTGCTCCCAAAATCATGCATGCTGGCAGGTACCACATCTTAAATTTAAGTGTGATTCCAATGAAATTAGTAGAGAAATTGACTACTTGTTGATGATGTTATATGTTGATTCTTCTTCTACAGAACGGATTATGGTTCTTCAAACTTTGAAGGGAAAACTTCCCCTTCTCAAGATGTCTCCACATTCCATGTTCCACAAAAATCTGGAATTGGACCTGAAATTGGAGATCATTTAACTGCTTTTGATTCAAGAAATGGGTCGGAATACATAGAGTGTATCATCCGTCCAAGCTACTCCACACAATCTGAAGATAACAATGCTAAAGAACTGTCTTCTGATTCAAATCTGCAGCATAATTCTTATCTTGATTCGGCTTCCCTTGATGAAAACAGTGGAGTCCCAGATGAAAATATCCACGATAGTTATTTAGCAGAGCATAGTAGGTCAAGATCATCTTATATTACATGGGATGAAAAGTTAGAAATCCTAGATTCTACAGGCCAGCCAAATGATGTCACGGAGATATCTTGTACAACTGAGAAGATAGATACTGAAGAGAAGGAAGATGTTGATCAGATTGATTTCGGCTTTCAGGATGAACCTCTTCCAACATCAGTTATCGTTGGGAGCCAGCCTGATGAGATTGAGAGCGAAACAGATTATTACATGGATGCACTTAACACCATTGAATCAGAATCTGAAGCCGATATCGAATTCCAGACAAAGCGAGAACTGCAGCAATACTCCAGTTTGAACAACAAAGATGTGGAAGAGATGCATAAAGCAGGTCATCTAGATGACAGTTCTACAAATTTTGAGTTTCAAGTTCCAGAAAATCAATCTTGCCTCAGCCCTAAGGCAGTATCCCCTGAATATCATGTGGACGCTTGCAGTTCCTCTAAGAATGAGAATTATGAAGACTTGACCAAGTCAAGTTCATCTCCGGTGGATGCCATATCTTCAATCTGCTTTACTACCCCAGAAAAAGTCGAATTGGAAGAAGTCAAGAGAAATGATGCAAATTTGGAGACTGTTGCCAGTGACGGATTATACTCTAGCTCTATAGAACCAAACTCACAACAGATTGTAAGCACTTACGAGTCTCCCAAGCCATCATCATCAACTTCTAATGCTACACTCGGCAATCCAGTTATGTTCTGGACAAATGGTGGTCTGTTGGGACTCGAGCCTTCCAAACCTCCAGATTTTGGTCTGCCAACGGCTGTTGGACCAGGCCCCATGGAAGAAAATAGAACCGAGAGTCAGAAAAACACCTGCAATGCTGTTGGGGATGTTGCCAGAGAAGATATGGTGGTCAACGGCCCCAAATCTGAATCATCTGGCAAACTTTCTGGTAGCAATGGGTTTAATTTTACTCAAGAGCATCATTGTAACGATGGACCAGTTCCTAAAGACGATCCTACTAAAGACAGCAAGGAAGACATCACTAATTCATCTCGGATATTTGAATTTAGCAATAGATTACTAGTAAATGGTTTCAGAAGACAGATAACGCTTGTTGGGAATGAAAGGCTTGCCAGCTCTGTGAGAAGTGATGTTCCTGAGAGTAAGAGCATGCAGAAAGGATATCAAACCGTTACTGGGATACCTTTCAGAGAACAATTTGGAAGTGGACCTCCGCTCATCTCACCTTCTTCTCCCCCTCTTGAACATATGCGGATATCTTTCCAGCCTATTGATGGCTTCGAGACTTCTAAACTGAAATTGATGGTCCCTGATGGAAACAATAACAACGAAACTAGTGGACACATGTTTCCTTCGTTTCAGTTGGTGCCAGAGCCGGCAATTTCACTCCATGAATCCGCTTCAGACTCCGATGATGACACATTCTGTAGATCGTCTCCATATGCATCAGATGACTGCAATAGTCATCCTTCTGAATCAAATTCTGAGCAGTGGGACTCCACTGACTCTCCCAGAATCAAGGATCATGAGCTAGATGATGCTTTCGGCAGGATCTCTTCTGCAGAATCTGTTTCAAGCTCTCTTATGAACGGGATTAGATTCCAGCAAGGTTTCCATGACCATGGAAACTATGGACATCAAAGTTCATTTAGTGAAGATGGCATGCACCCTTCTCAGCATGGTCTTTTACACGATTTTCCGAACTTCGATTCTATGAACACTTCACATAACAAGATAACTGGTGACTTTGATGGGAAGTCTGTTCTTCAGTCAAGCCTTCCTAAGGAGCCCACATCACTTCCTCCACCTCTCCCACCTATGGAATGGCGGGGAACTAAGCTAAATCCTGATGTGACAATGGAGAAAGAAGATGATCTCTCGGAAGCCTTGACTTATGCATTGAATCTGACAACTCCAGAGCCTACAGTATCGCAGCAGCCAGTGCCAGCTCCAATAAAACAGGACCATTTTGTTGAGTCGGTCGATCTCACGCTTAAGCACGAGGTAAGTTTGTTATTTTTCATGTTTTGATCTAATGATTAATGTAAATTTTACGTTCTATATACCAATCAAAGTATTTCTGAAAAAAGCAAAATGCATCAAAATGCAACCAAGTTTGCTTTAAATCCTATTAAGTATAACAAAACTTTTTTTTCAATCAATGTAACAAAGTTCCAATTTTTTTACTCATTTTGACTGGTAATCTGTTAATCTTGTAACATTTGATGATGTGGATGTCAAGTTTGTTGTACACTTTCTCATAACCCTTTCATAAACAGTTCGTAAACGGGTATCAACGTCATTAGATGTTACAAAATCAACAGGTTAGTTGTCAAAATGGGTATAAAACAGGAACTTTGAAACTTCTTTACATTGATTGAGAAAAATAAATTATTTGTTGCACTAAATAGGAACTAAAACAAACTTTGTTTCATTTTGATGCACGCTTCTGAAAACAAAAACGGGTGACACGATGGTATTTTGTTTGCAGCAGCCTGAGTGGCAGAATCGGCATGCTCAGAATGAATCTAATCGCACTACCAATTGGAAAGCTGGTGATGAAAAAGAAGACTTCCTTCAGCAGATTAGAACAAAAGTGAGTAGCTCTTGGCAGTTTATACTCTTCACATCTCAGTCTTATGCTCCTCCTGGATTTCTGTTGTCTGCCAAATTAAAGCAAACTTTGGTTTATGTCTACTTCAGAACAAATTATATCAAAATCTTAACTTTCATAAGTTTACAAAATCTAAAAATAATCGCATGTTATGTATATTAAAAGGAATTTCCTGATCCATCTGCATACGCGTGTTTTCATACAGTGGTTTACAAGATTAAGCATGAGGTCACTCGATTGCGTAGCTTGCTTAATTCTTTTAGAAATTCGTTTTTCAACTCGAATTAGATATCAACTATAGTTCTACACTTATGATATAATATTCTTTTCATAATCATCGATTTTAGCTAATAAAATGAGTGTCGGTCAGAATATTTCTTCTATTACATTTCACATTTAATGACTTCTATTTCTTATAGAACCTTTGAAACCTGTCTTCTTAGATGTTTTTGCAAAGATCTCTCTGCGGAGATTAATCTTCCAGTCCATATGTTATATGTACATACGCTATCTATACACCAATATCTTATTCACATGTGAATTGACATTTGTTTGGCATGCAGTCACTCAATCTAAGACGTACTTCAACAGCTCGGCCAACTACTACACCAGCTGGCCCTACCAGCGTTAAAGTCACTGCAATTCTCGAGAAGGCAAGCGCAATCCGCCAGGTTTCTCTCTCTCTTTTCTCCTCCCTCCCCGTCATTAGGATCAATCAATTGATCATACACACATTAATAGCTGCAAGAAACAAAAAATAAAACACGTTGTATTTGCATGGTTCAACGATTTTCCGCATTCATAGTTGCTAGAATTCTCATATCATATTTTGTGAGTTCTTAAAAGTACATGAAAGAAAGATCAACTTCATTATATGAAGAAACCATATAATTGTATAAAACATGACAACTTTTGCACAAGATGGGGCTTCATAGAAACAACCGCTATACCCTTTGGGGCAGAGGACATGCCATACAACAAAATCGGCTTTATAGGACACTAAAGATGTCTAAACGTCCTAATAGACTGCTATATAAAGGTTACAATAGGATGTTATTACTTGGGCATCATAACAAGTTTTTTAAGACAATTTTGCAATAGTGTCCTTTTAACTTCTTATAGGACATTTTTTAGAAGTGTCTTATGAACACATCTTTTTATAAGACATCATAAAAAGACTAATAAGACGTTTATTTCAACATTGTCGTAAAAGTTTGTTAGGATGCCTTTTCAACTTTAGGACAGCTAGACATAATATGGTACCCTATAAAACAGATTTTGCCGTAGTGAGGTCTGCGTACATCCTACCACTCAGACCCCACTTTTGAGTGGGATATATTGAGTTCGTTTGGTTTGGTTTGGCTTGGTTAATAAGACATGACAACTTTCTTCCAAAATGTAGTAAATGTTCTGCTTCTGCTTAGTTTTTATCCGATTCAACCAAGTGAATCCTCATGTTTATTAAATCTGTTAGGTTGTTGGAAGTGATGATGGAGATGATGATAACTGGAGTGACACTTGAGTTTCAGTCCACATGATTGCATCTGTTCATATATAAACCACCTTGAGGTGATGTTGCAGTTCTATAGTGGTATCTATATGTTAATGCTCCCATTCCTCTCCTTTCCTTGTAATTAATTTGGTAACCCTGTTTTTATCCTTAATTTCTTCATGAATTCATCATATCGATAGCCATAAAACCGGTGATGTTGTCGGATATTACAACCCGAGTTTAGTAATGCTTTGAAAACGAAACCAACATCTTCGTTAGATATTTTT